ATATCTAATCGGCAAATCTCTTATCTCATCGTTATTAGACGAAGAAGCGTTCGACTGAAAGCCTCAATCATCTGTGGAACTTCATGGCACGTCATTCCTCCACAGTGACGTCGAATTGATCGTAGCATGTTCGGTGTCTTGCCTTGTTGAATTCAATACAATAGGTAGTATTTGCGTGATGTCTCCAACAAGAATGATGACCTTAACACCAAATGGTTTCTGTATGGGGGGGGGGGAGCACGACCAAAATGAGCGTTCAAAATTGATTTTCACGCCACAGGGGGCATGGGTTGGGGACGGAGCTCGCCCAAGTTGGGTGGGGATCGGGGAGGCGGTTCAGCTATAATGTTCGGCACCCACCAACTGAAAAACACAATGGCATTTTTTGTATCACGTCATCTCGTAGTTTCCACATCTATGTTCGTTGCAATTATTCATTTCAGCCCAAATAGATCACAAGTCAGATATAGAGGGTGTTTGGCTAAGCTTATAAGATGTTAAAATGGGCTTATAAGATGTTTTAGAGCTTATAAGCTCTTCCAAAGTGTTTGGTAATTTTAAAAAAAAAATCTTAATTTTTTTTAAAATAAGCTGTTGGAGAGCAAATAAGATATTTTTAAATAAGTACCTACCCCACATTTTTATTTAAGATCTTTTAATGAGTAAAAATAGGAAATAAGTCCATTATCCAAACACTCTAAAAATTAATCCAAAAAATAAGATGTAACAGCTTATCAGCTCTTAAAACATCTTATCAGACGTAAGAACTTATCGGCTATTTAAAATAAGCTTACCCAAACACCCTCATAGTCTATTCTTACGACTACTTTTCTTCACCAACCTTATACCAAGACTCTTAGCGGTCGTTCTCCCATAATCTATCAACTCATCTTTCGAGTTAAATAAGTCCATTATTACTACAAAATACTCAATGCGATCAACTTTAAATGTAGACGAATTTTGGTGTTCTTCATGAAAAAATAAAGAAACAAAACAAAGTTTTTTTTTTAACACAACAAAGTTAACTGAAAAAAACAAAAAAAATAACCCCGATTCCCGATTTGTCGCCACCCGTTTGGGCGTCCGAAACCACGATCCACGTTCAAATTGGGCGCCCAAAAGCATTTCGCACGCCCAAACTAGGCGCCCAAAAGCATTCCGCACACCCACATTTCGCATGGATCTCACTTATGGGAGCGTCCAATTTGGCCGTAAAAGTTGATTCGGTCGCTCGTTTCGGTCGTGAGCCCTCTGTTCGAAATTTCTACAATGAAAATAAATATCTTTTACCTCTTCGTGATGTGTATCCCGACCCTCATCCAATACACTCATTTTTGTTTGTATATTACTTCAATAAGATGGGTTTTTGTATGGTTTAAGATACAATAGTTTTGGAGGGTGTTTTTTTTAGATAGGAAAAGGGAAGATTTTATACGAATAATAAAGAATAATAAAGAAACGTGCTATTTCCACCCTCAAAATATCTTATTTCACCACCAAATTAAATATATTTTCCATTTTACCTCTTTCTTCTTTCACCTATATTTTTTACTACTAAACTAATTAAAATATTTATAAAAAAAACCCCAGCATTTTTACTAGAAATCTCACCCTCTCCACCTTAAGTGATTAATACTTTCGTCAGAGAAAAACATTTCCGAAGGTCAAAAAGAGCAGGAATTCACATTTTTTCAGAAATAAATTAAGAGTGATTGTATAGAAGGTCCTGAACTTCATCCAAAATTGGCCAGTTTGGCATAATATAATTTCGTTTCTTGAAAACAAAATTACATAATCTGTATGTCATCTGATATGGAAGTTTGAAATCTTATAATAAATATTTCATAGCAAAAAATTAAAAAAAAAATTAAAAAAAAATTAAAATATTAAAAAAATAGAAATAGCTTGGAGCACATGAAGATTATGTGAATATAAGGAAGGATGGTGGATTATAAATTTGAAGGGTATTTATGACATTTTATAATATTTGGTGGTGAATTGAGATACTTTGAAGGTGGAAATTCTATCACTCATAGTAAATTATGTAAAAACCTTCTGGTTTATGTTATATATCACAAAACAGGTAGAAAAAATAAATTTGTTTATCTACAATTAATTTTTTTTTATCTTTTTCTCTGATAATGTGAGATTAAAATTGAAGAACAACTGTGTAAAAGTATAACAAGGTGGACCGTTGATGTGAGTAAGCATTATAGCCATTTAAGTCCATTAGAAGCCCATTCTTTTTATTTTTATTTTTTGATCAAATTAGGAGCCCATTTAAATGGTACCAGTACCACAAACAGCACTATCATAATTTATTAATTGTACTATGAATAGTGACGGACAACTTATAAATATTAATATTTTTAACTTGGGGTTTTCTAGGGTCCGAGATGATTGTACTTCTCGGACTGTAAAATATTTAATCTGATGCGTATAAAATAATTAAAAGTGAATCTCAACCATCAATTTTATGTACAACCTATGTACAACCTAGATTTAATCTGGTGCGTATAAAATAATTAAAATTGAATCTCAACCATCAATTTTATGTACAACCTATGTACGACCTAGTACGATACTAAAGATTTGAAAATTAATGTACGAACCCAGTAAAAACACACCGTACCCCATTGTACACACATTGTACTTCATATAAATTACTTAATTAGTCTTCTATATTCAAATGAATTAATTAAAATCCCCATTAAAAAATATTATAATAATCATAATCAATTAATTGTTCTTCCCAACTCACGTGTTGGAAGGGGGCGTGTGATACACGCTCTTTTTTTTTTTTTTTTTTTTTTTTCTTTTCTTTTTTCTTTTTTATTTGTTATATACATTACTTCTTTTTTTGTTTTTTTTTGTTTTTTCTTTTCTCTTTTTTACTTGTTAATTTTATATTTTTTTTATTTTCCTTTTCTTTGTATTTAAATTTTATATTATATCATTATTTTATTTTATTTCAATTATTTAGTTACATAATTTAATATCACATAGTTTCAATAAAATCAAACACTTAATTTGTAAATAAAGACTTTTAATAATTTTGTTTTTATTTATTTTTTCTTTTATTTATTGTTTCCGTTTGAATTATATCTTTTAAATTACTAATTCTATCTTTTTTAATTAGTAATAATTATTATTAATTATTAGTTTTTAATAATAATAATAATAATAATAATAATAATAATAATAATAATAATAATAATAATATTTTTATTACTATATTATTATTATTATTATTATTATTATTATTATTATTATTATTATTATTATTATTATTATTATTATTATTATTATTATTATTATTATTATTATTATTATTATTATTTTATGGTAATTATTATTTTATTATTATTATTATGACGATGAGAGTGGGGGTTTCAAAAAAAAAATAGTAAAAGATCGAACGGTTGGAAACGACGTAGGTAGAGGTCGGGGGAGGAGGAGAGGGAGGGGAGGGGGAAAACCCCCTCTCCATTGGAGATGCTCTAAGGGGGGAAGTACAACCAAAAGACATTGCCTTTTAAACCGAGCCTAGCTTTGCCCATTATAATGATTCGGGAATTTTAATGTAGCAACAACAACAAGGTTATTAACATGTTGTTCATTTTGTTTTTTCAATTTCTTGGTCGTATGGTACCAGTTGATTTATGGGATATTTTCACATTGGTTAGTCGAGCCTACCTTAACGATTCTTTAGGTTTGTAAATTTTTCTTATACATCTCTGCATAAATTCCTAGATGCGCTAGAGGTGATGTGATACGTGAAAATGTATCGCCATTCTTCTAGTGGCACACATGCGAGTTTCTAAGTTAGTTATTGGTTTCAGTTTTTCGGCATCAGTGATCTTCTACAAGTTTTGTCCTCTTGTCCTTGAACATGGAATTTTTGAGCTGCAAATACGGGAACCGCTTAAGGGTAGGAATTACTTGGTCAGACTGCATGTATGGTTACCGACTTACTGTGTGCAGTTTACTCAAACTTAATCTTTTTTGTACGTTACCTATGAACGAACTTATTAGTATGGCTTGAAGCCTGTAATTGTGGCTTTGGCAACGCAAGTTGAACATCTGTTTTTTTTTTTTCTTTCTAAAAGATGTTTCCCTGTCATTTTTATTTCATACATCATCATTGAATTTTGATTGAATTTGTAAATTAACAGTTCATATAAATGCAGGAAATGACATTTAAGGTTGTGAAGCTGCTAATCACAAAGCTGGGCAGACTTCTGAGTCGGCAAAAGACACTATCTTCGAAAACCTTAAAGCGGCCAAGGATAAGTCCTCGATATTAAAGACGATATGAATGGCTCGAATAATAATCGGAGTCATGATGAGAAGCTATAAATTTATAATTGCATGGATGATGAGTGATATATACATAGTACAAATGGATATAATCAACAACTCTAAGTCCCAGTAATTGTTTTTAATATTAATACTCATCATCATGTAAGTGACTCTTTTTTATGATGGTTGTTATGGCTGTTCCCAATAGTCTTATAGTGATGGTTTTGAATTCATTTTTTCATTAAAAAAAAAAAAAAAAAAAAAAAAAAAAACCAGGTAAAGAGAATTTTGTGAAAAAAATGACAAATGACTAAAAGCTCTAACTTCTCTCATACAAAGCTTTTATCTTCATTTGAATTGAACACTTTGACTATAACTCATCATACTTCTAAAACTTGAAAGAATAATGAAAATTCATCTTTAAACAAGTTTTAACACAGTATATCACAGTATGTTATACTTCTATTCTTTTGTAACAAATTGTATTCCCATCAAGAAAAGAGTCTTAAGATTATGTAAACAGAGGACATTGATTTAACTGAAATCCCCTCTGAATTTTCACTCCATATTTCTCTCTGGTTTTTGCCATGGTAGTATCAATACTTTAAAACCCCATCGCCATGGCCTTGTTATCAGTCCCTTCAAACTTCTTATCCTCTTCAACAAGCATTTATCCATCAAAAACTTCATTATTCCTTGAATTTTTTTCCACAAACTCATTCTTTAAACAACTTCAGAGCTTGACAAGTGACATGCTGTCAGCAACCTGTTCAACTTGACAACAAAACCAACCACAAGATTACTCTTGTAAAGAAGAAGAGAAATCCCTGATTAAGTATTCTCGAACAAGTTCAGAACAAATTGTCAGAACACTCGAGGCAATTATTTCCTCAACTCTATCACAGTATCATCAATTAAATAGTTACTCAAATGATATATGTTGCAAAACCATCAAGCAATATAGACAGCTCTAATATTTGCATTGACTCAAGAATTTGGCAGAAGTGCTAGAACTGTAGAACATAAAATTCTATCAAGTATCTAATATAATTTCTTCTTAAAAAAAATATTAAATAACATCTCCATCACCCAACAAGAGTGGTAACAAAGAAACTTTTAATTATTGAAGAATTTTATCAAACACCTTGACTGCGGCACCCACAATTGGATTTTTGTTTTTCGTATGCACACAAGAGTAGATTGACTGACCATTCTCTTACAAGGAATGTCAAATGCCTAACCGAAAAATCACATGCTAATTTATTGCCCCAAATAAGTTTGCAAGAAAAGGAGGTAACAATGGATGATGATTTTTCTAAACAAATGATCGATGATTAATATTGAAGGAAAAGATCGAACAAAAGAAACACAGGATGATTTCTTGCACCAAAAAAGTTTGCCAAAAAGGGAGTTACAAATCGATGATGAGTTTTCCAAAAAATAAAATGATCGATGATTAATATTGGAGGAAAAGATCGATGATGAATCCTGGTACTTTTTTTCTTAGAGGAACGATCTTTAATGAATAAAGGGGGTTAATGGAATTAGATTTTTAGTTTAAGAAGAACTCTAATTAGTTTTGACGTAATGTTGTATCTTATTTGATATGATTTAAAATTTGTTGATTTATAATTAACTTTTAGATTATTAATTTTTTCATTATGTTTTAAGTTTAATTGAAAGGGAGTTTTATGTAATTTATTTGTAACCCATAGATCGTACATTTGTTTGCTAGGTACGTACTAATCTTATGTGTCATATTTTTATTGGCTCATAGTGGTTCGAGAAGTACAACACTCTCGGACCCTAGACAACCCCTTTTAACTTTTAACTCATTATAAGCGTAAAAAGGATTTACATATACCTTAATAAACGAAAATTAATTGAGAAAAAAAAAGTTACAAAGTAAAAAAAAATTCATTCGCGTTTTCCCGTGAAAGATTCGGGCACTGGGTTGCATGTTGGGTTTTCAGTTTTCAGGATTCGAGGTTGTTTAGGCTTCGAAAGACGTCTTTGTTTTTCAATGATTTGCAATATTTTAAATTCTAATAATTGTTAGTAGAAACTTAGATTTTTTGACTATGCAAATTTAGCCATTCTTAGATGATGAAGTTCTACTCTACTAGAATTATGATTTTACATATTTTTTGTCATTGTTCATTTGTTCTATTTTTGTTATGATTGTAAGCAGGGAAATGAGATGGTACATGTGGTTATTTACATTGAGTTGATTTGAACCATAGATCTACAAATAATCACACACACTCATGTGTATGTGTGCTTAAAGATAGTTATTTAATCATATCTACAGTTCAAATACACCCGATTTAAATAACCAAGTGTATCATCCATCGTGCGCATCGCACATACGCATGGGCATTAAACAAGCAAAATAAAAAATTGATGGGCCCACATGGTAACTCAACTGGTTTCAGGGTGGTAAGTTGATACAAGATTTTAGGATCAAATACTGACAGTCACAGTGTGAGAATTTGAACCGAAAAGATGTGCCACTTTAAAATACAAGATCCTTGTATAGAGTCAGTGGCGGAACCAAGGGGGGCCATGGCCCTCACAACATTTCTCAAGTTCATATTATTTTATATAGAGATATAAAAAAATTGTGTATAATCGCAAAAATCGGCCCCCTCTCATAAATATTTTAATGCATTCGACCCCTTGCAGAGTTTGAATTCTGACTCTGCTAGTGTATAAGTGTGATGATTAATACATATATCCACTAAATCTATACATCATATTATGCAATTGTTAAGGTAGAGATAACTTTAATTAAGGAATGGGTTTTAGAACAAATCATTATAAATATTTTCTGTTTGAATGCAAACCATTGACTGTGTGCAGTTGAAATGTGAGCCTCACTTAAAGCTCAGTTGATGTGGTTTTCACTTAAAGAACCAAACATACCCTCTTCGGATATCCATTTTATTAATTACCCAAATCAAACACCATTAAATTAGTCATAATTAATTAATTAATAATAAAATCACTAAGCTAACCTAAGCGGCCATCTTTATAAAAGCAAAACCCTCATGTTTCTGATATGATAGAATTATATAGAGCAATAATTAATGATGAGAGAAAAGTACTTATTGAGAATATTAGTACTATTGATAGTATTAATAGTTGGTCCGGGTGCAGCGAAGACAAATTTGCATGATTACGGTGATGCATTGTCGAAAAGCATATTGTTTTTCGAGGGCCAAAGGTCGGGGAAGTTGCCTCCGTCGCAGCGTTTGGCGTGGAGGAAGGACTCTGCTCTTCACGACGGCACAGACAAGGGCGTATGTGTCTTTTTCTCTTTCATTTAGTGGCTATGTATATATATAATCGAGGTCGAGTATATGTTATATCTGGTGAAATGTATGCTACGTAAATAGTCAAATATATATATTATATGGATTTTAATAACCTATAAAATTATTTATGTACCTCTTGAGATAGCAAATAGGATGGGAAAAAAAAAACCTTATTATTAATTAGTAGAAATGTGATGTTTGTGTATGTTATAAATATGTTATAAATATGTGATATCTCCTAGATGAATTTAAGGGATTCCAACTTCCAAGTGTATATGTGCTATTTTGAGTTTTAGATTTTCTGAATATTTAGCATTTTTCCCCCTCCAAGTATTTATTTATAATTTTATTTGGTAGAGCCCAATATATTTTGTACGATCAACGTCTTTCCATGAAATTTACTCAAGCATGCTATACACATACGGAAACAGAAATCGGTAACAGGTTAGGCTTTATGTTGTGTTTCCATTAAAATTAAAAGATAGTGGTATTCAAAAAGATAATTATAAATAATAATAATTCTATGGATTATATTTATAGACTATACATAATTCCTTTTTTTTTTTTTTTGAATAAATTTAATTAGGCAAAAAGATGAATAGATTAGTTAAATGGATGTTTCCTATGATGCCAATCAACGTGATATGTAGTCCCATGGACCTCGTCGGCCTCTTGCTCTAAAGTCTAAACAACTTTTTTAACAACGAATTTTATTTCTACGGATTAAGGAAAGAGAAAATCACATAGTTTTATTTTATTTAAGCATTTTTTAAACTATATATAAGATATCCAATCATGGTTTATAACTTAATAGTCTTAGAGCTCGTATGATTACCTTTATCGGATAAGTTTAGAATAGATGGAATTGGATTAATTTCTTACTGACTAATTAATTAATTAGTTAGTATGATGTTTCGTATGAAGATTAGATTTGTATTAAATATGTTAAATTATGGTATTATATGTGATTTGTTTGTAAAACCTTTTTTTTTAATAAAATTAACATGTAGTTTGAAGGATGAAATAATTTTTTACTTGTTTAGTCACCCCCTATTAAATTAATTTCTGAGGGAGGGGTGCTACTAATTTAAGAAAATAGTAGCATTTAATAGCAAACTTTGATTTTAGTAGCGCGTTTACAAAAATGTGAATATTGTCAAACGAACGTGTTACTAGCCCTTACTATTTAGTCAATAGAACATTATAACAGTAACCGAATGAGCCATTATACCATCTTATTATACGATTTATATTCATTATATTCAATGTAACATTCCATGAACACCGAACTCTAGAGGCTCCTTATTATATTTACACAAGAATTTACATCACTTAGGCCTCGTTTGGTTGGTGAGATTATACATTATTAACTAAATAATCGGATTTTTTTTTATGTTTGATATCCCAATAACTTGTTAGGTCAACCCGCAAATATTATGTTATCAATTATCATGGCTTATTTTGCGCAATATTTTGAGAATTGGAACAATATATGAACATCAATTGTTATTGAAATTTTGAAATAGATTTTAAAAACAATTGAAGAAAATATAAATATTCTACTATATAATTAATCCCTTTACATTTCTATCATTTCTATTAATGAATGTGATGCCATGTTTTTTCCATAAATCTATACAAATTAAGTTTGATGATGTAACTCTTTTAAGTTTTTTTCTCAATACCAATTGATCCGAAGTAAAAATAAAATAATAATAATAATAAATAAATAAATCGATATACAGGTGGACTTAACAGGAGGATATTACGACGCCGGCGACAATGTGAAATTCAATTTCCCGATGGCGTTCTCAACAACAATGCTGGCGTGGGGAGTGCTCGACTACGGCAGGTCCATGGGACCGGAGTTGCATAATGCACTCGAGGCCGTCCGATGGGCGACCGACTACTTCCTCAAATCCACCGCCACTAACGGCGTCGTTTACGCTCAGGTGGGCGATCCCAACGCCGACCACAATTGTTGGCAAAGGCCCGAAGACATGGACACCCCTCGTACCGTTTACGCTGTTACTGAAAAGGCTCCCGGTTCGGAAGTTTCCGGCGAGATAGCCGCGGCTCTTGCGGCGGCGTCTTTGGTGTTCAAGGCGTTTGGGGATAGGGCTTACTCTAACATGCTTCTACAAAGAGCCTCCAAGGTAAATAACATATAAAATAGCATATCTTTTTTGTGCAACATTCTTGATTTCTCAAAACAAAAGCAAACATTATTGATCATGTATTTCAAATTTTGGGAAAAATACAGTTTTAGCCCGTCACATTAGCATCGATTTCACATTTGGTCCCTTATGTTCACAAAAAAACTCATTTGGTCCCTCATGTTTCAAAAATTCAACACTTTTAGTCATTTCCGTTAATTTTCGGTTAAAACTAACAGAATCAAGCCTATGCCCATCAATAACTTTACTGCCAGACTGACGGTAAATTGACGGAAATGACAAAAAACGTTAAATTATTGGAAAATGAGGGACTAAATGTGTTTTTTGTGAATATAGGGGACCAAATGTGAAATCGGTGCAAACTTAAGGGGTGAAAACTGTAATTTTCACTTCAAATTTTATATTAGGACAAATTTCACTTTTCCCCCTTCTAATCTGGGCGGGATCACTTTACCCCCTTCTATTTTCGATTGAATCAATTTACTCCTCCTCAATTTGTAAGTTTATCTCAGTGTGACCATGACCGTTAGTTTTCAAACTTCGAACCTTAACATTGTTTGGTCAAAGCTCGGAAATTACAAAAACGCCCACCCCTTCCTAGTTGAGTTAGTATAATCTTTAATTGGAACTGTAATATCTAAAAATAGAGGATCAAATTGCAAACTGTAATCCCGACCCAGAGTAGAAGGGGAAAAGTGGAATGTGCCCTTTATATTATTAATGTTTAATGCAAGTAATCAAGTATAATCTTCTCAGTCAGTTAGTATTGTAAAATTTTCAAATCACTTAAATTTATTATTAATGACTTTATTTCTAATAAATGATATATGTATGTTCAATAATGCCTAAGCTTATTTTTTATTTTTTATTTCATTTTAATTTGTTACACACCAGGTATTTGAGTTTGCAGACAAGTACAGAGGATCTTACACGGACAGCATTGGGGAAGGAGCATGCCCTTTTTATTGTGATTTCAGTGGTTATCATGTACAATATTAATCTACATTTATTAAATTAATATAAACCATATTTAGTTAATTAATACAAATTTTAATGAAAAAATAAATAAAATCAATTATTAAATTTGCAGGATGAATTGCTTTGGGCAGCTGCTTGGCTACACAAAGCCACAAAAAGCCATGTCCACTGGAACTACCTCGTACAGAACATGAACAACTTCAAACCACATATTGAAGGTAGCATGTTTGAATTTGGTTGGGATGCTAAGCATGCTGGAATTAATATTCTTGTTTCCAAGGTATATATATCTATATATATAATTATATTATATATATGTATAAGTTTCTTAGATTCCTACATTAAATTCATATAAATTATTTTCATTGCATATATAAAGGGCAAATTACGGCCACTCCTGAGATATAGTCAAATTACGAAAAAACCCTTTTGTTTGGGAAATTACAGCCACCCTTCTTTTAAATATTTTTACATAAAATTTAGGTAATTCGGATATTTATCGAACCAAATCGAATATTTAGTTCGGTAAACGGTATGAAATGTTGGCGTACCAAAATTTCAGTTCGGTGTTACCGAATTAACATCCTTTTACCTCTAGAACGGTCTTTTCGTAAGATAACACATAGTTGAGGGGTGGCTGTAATTACCTAAACATGAGGGGGGTTTTCGGAATTTGACTATAACTCAGGGAATGGCCGTAATTTGCCCCTATATATAAATCCCATACTAATATTTCGAGCCAATTGTCTTTGCAGTACGTCGTAAATCGTAGTTTGGAAGCTACAACCCCTTTTCTCTTCTACGCAGACAGCTTCGTATGTTCTGTGTTGCCCGAATCTCCCACCAAAATAGTGAACTTTTCTCCTGGTATGTATAAATGGATATAATGTATTTTCGTATGTGTGCGTTTTTTGTTCGTGAATAAACACTAAATACTATATTTGGTGTATCTCATCTGATGTAGTAGCACTGTAAAAATTAATAGACCGGTTTTCAATGTTAATGTAATTTTTTTTTATCAATTGCAGGTGGGCTTTTGGTAAAAGAAGGCGTGTGCAATATGCAACACACGACCGCAATTTCGTTTCTACTATTAGCGTACGCCCGCTACTTGAAAAACTCCAACCACGTAGTACGCTGCAATAATAACGTGATCATCACTCCGAAGCGGCTCATTCATTTCACAAGAAATCAGGTAAATTAATAACATATTTGTCGGAGATATAAATATTAAATGATACATCTCACTAAGTTTCTGATCTGAGTACATTTCAGTTCACTAACAACCTAATATTTATATCTCCAACAATGTTCATTTGATGCTACACCGATTGAAATACACGTCTGATTGATACTGTATACCATATCAATCATTCATATTTAATCGACACACAAAGACATACGAATCCGTAATCGATGCTAAATTTTGAACAAATTAATGCAGGTGAACTATATATTAGGTGATAATCCAATGTCAATGTCATATATGGTGGGATATGGAAAAAAATATCCACAACGGATTCACCATAGGGCCTCTTCATTGCCTTCAATAGTTGCAAAGCCAGAGCATATTGAGTGCAAGGGTGGTACGCCCTATTTCTTGAGTGGTGCCCCGAATCCGAATATGCTGACCGGGGCAGTGGTGGGTGGGCCCGATACCGATGACACGTATGCGGATGATCGTGTTGACGCAACAAAATCGGAGCCCACTACTTATGTGAATGCACCTCTTGTGGGCCTACTGGCTTACTTCAATGCACATTCTTGAACTTTTGTATGAATTGATGTACTCCTTCCGTCTCTTTTTAAGTGTCGCTTAAGGTAGATGCACACTAATTAAGAAAATTATTAAATAGACTTGATTCGTGAGAAAAGTCTGTATTTGGCCAAATTATCCCTTGGTGGATTTTCATGTTGTGTTTCTACTTTTATTAATCTATCATTAATCTTGGGATAAAGTTCGAGAAGATTAATTAATTAGGATTTAGGCCTATTTCAAAACCTGGTCGGACATAGAACGGACAACCAACTGAGTTACTAGTTGGACCGATTCAATCGAGTTTCAGTCGGGTGTTTATATATTTTTTACTTTTAGTTATTTACAAATAGTTAAGAAATAATTATATAGTAAAAACACATTAGAAATCCTATAATTGATAAGAATTAACCTAATCTTCGATTTAACCAATTATTATCCAATAATACTTTTAAAATATAAAACACAAAAATTACCATAAATACCAAACCATTAATTTAAAATTTTACTAGATAATTTACTTTTGTATATTATTTTTATTTCTCATTCCATTATCCTACTAATTTTCCCAAAAAAATCCGATTTCACCGTTTTTTTGGTTTCCCGGTCTAATCCAAGATATTTCCGGTTCGCTGGTATTGACTCGGGCCCAACGATTTTTGTGATGGGCACGAAAACACGTTTTTAATCTGAAACTCATTGCTTCCCAGTAGCGATTCTAACAGAAGAACTATTTCCCTTTCATACTACACTCCGCAAGGTCAGGGAGAAATCAAAATCAAAATCAAGATCAAAATCGCAGAAAACAAAAGTTTGAAATAGAATTGGGGAAGAAAATGAGTCAAAGAAAATCTGTCAATGGGAGGCCATCTGGAACGGACGGCTCTGATTATTCTTACCGTATGGTCGTCGATTCCAGTAAGCCCTAATTCGATTTTCCCATTTTTTTTTTCAATTTTTTTAATTTTAATTTTTAGGTTATTATATGTTTTTTTCTTCTTATTCTTTAAATTGAAGGGTATACAAAGGTTGCTGAAGGAAAATCTCGTCTAGGTTCACTGATCCTTACCCAGGTATATAGTTAGATACACAATCAAGTTAGGCCTCGTTCGGTTGGGAAGATTAGTCATGATTAATTAAATAATTCGACTTTGTTTGATGTTTTTGGTATCCCGATAACTTGCCGTGTCGACCTGCAAATATTATATTATCATGACTTATATTGCCTTCTAGGTATGTTTTTATTGGTTTGTCGAAGGTCCAATTATAATTGGGTTTCATTAGATCATTTAATCTTATTTTGGCTAATCTTATCTTGGAACCAAACGAGGCCTTAATGTGTATGATTTATAGAGATGAATTATGGAGAAAAGAAGAGATATTTAAATGATTTGTTCAATTTGTTGCAGGGTTTTATTCAATTAATTGGTGCAGTAATTCTATTTCTATCTACTGTGGAAGGGGGTGGCGTTCTCGATAGACTTTCCGTTTCGTCGAGTGTTATTTTCTTTATTTCTCTGTTATTAGGAGAATTAGGTACGGTGAATTTGTTATGTTTTAAATACGAAAAGTTTATCTCGTATTTTTAATTTTTTTTAACTTGAATATTTGATTTTTGTTTGTTATTTTTCAAGGTCGCAAGCGCAGTCGAGTTAACCTTTTGAAGCTGTACTTGTTTGGATCGGCAGTTGCTGCCCTTATCTCGATTGTTTGTCTCCTCAAGAGTGGAGAATCGGTTAAGGTAGAATCTTTTTTCGTTTCCTTTTTCTTGAAAATTGGTTTTTGTGACGATGAGGAAGAGTAACTAGCTATTACGTGTAGAAAGTAATGCTGTTAAATATGTCTGCAAGAGATTGCCCGATTGTACGGTTTTGTGACCGTAGATTCAGTGTCAAGAATTGAGATCAAATTTTATCAACACCATTGTTACAATTAGTGAACTAAAATGTTAGTTGATTAACCATTATCGTATGTGTTGGTTGAATTATATAATGAATCAAACTCGATGGCTCATTTGAGTAGGAACACCTTGTTGAGTTTGTCTACGATTATTTTCGTACCCAAGCAAAATGTTTTTTACTAGAATGAACCTGTTTAATTTTATGTAATATTTTCCTAATTTGTGCGTTTATTTTTTTTTTTGTGTAAAATTTTATCTTTAAGAGCTTAAAAGTTGCATTCAATAATACGTTCGTTTTTTTTTTGTCCGAAAATCATATTCGGTATCCTTATACCATCAGCTTATTTTCGCACTCTCACTTTATGTCTGATTTCACTTCAGGCAGGCCTATGTTTTGCATTCCACTTTTGTATGTATAAATAAATAGTAGAGTTCATTTATTCGTCGAAGTATACATTTATTCATTATTATTCATCCATTTGATGTTGAAGGTTATTTGTTCGACTATTGCTCGATCTTTAATTTCTACAATGACATTGTTTGGTTATTATCATCATCAACTTCTTTCAGTTCGACTAATTTAAAGATATTATGAAATACACGATTATTATCAAGTGTTAACATATTTTGAACAGGTTATGAAAGATCTGAGTACGTGGCAGTCATCAAAGTTTGAGCTCTTAAAAATCGCTGCTGTTTTACTCGGTAATTTTTTTTTTTTTTTTTTTGGGTGCAGTGTGTTTATTAATGATTTTTGTCTTGACTTTTTTTCTTTCTGTAATGGTGCCTATCTATATGCAGGAATGCTGGTACAGATATACGCAACGAGCGTGGCTACCTCTCTCATTCACAATATGGCTCCTCCCAAAAGGGCGTAATCGTAATATTCGTTGATACGGGCAGAGCAAAGATGCTCTCTTGTGCCCTTTCTCTTTTCGAACTATAGATGAAAAGCAAATTTTGGAGACTTTTGAGTGTAGTTTATGTAGTTGCGTTGGAAATCAAGAATCTTGCACTTCATTCCTATCAATTAATGATGATTTTATTGATTAATGCAATATTTTAAAATTTAAATTTTATCTTTCTTTGATATAATAAGTAACATAAGAACTAATTCTTATTGGATTATATAAAATTGAAAAGTAAGTAAAATAAAATTATTGGACAAAATTAAAAAAATGTATATATTTAAACATTATGATTCATGTGTAATAAGTCATCTTATGAAATTATTGATTTAAAATATGTTTAAACAATTAAGATTACAGTCGATTATTCATTGATTTTTTGGAAAACATTGATTTTTTTTTTTAAATTATCTTTTGAAGTCGTAGTTCAATATATATGTACACTAGTATATAAACTATTCTTTTGTTCACTAGTATAATTTTTTGTTTTTTTTTTAGGGATTTTTATGCAAAAGTCCCCAACCAAGCATGTTTATTATTCTAGGTATAGGAGACATATCTCTTTCACCAATAAGCCCATCCCTTTAATATTTATTATAACTAAAGGAAACATTCATGTATATCCCAATATTACCCTCAATCATTTATACCCAATTCTTAATTGTAATCCAAATTAATCAATTTTGTCCATAAAAGTTCAATTTTGACCACAAAAATTCAATTTTGACTTTTTTTTGGAGTATAATTTAATATGCTCCAATTTCATCCTTAACTTAATTTAATCTCAATTTGACCCCAAATTTCACAAATTATTAAATTTTGACCCAAAATTTTTTTTTTTTTCAAAAAATTTTTTTTTTTCAAAAACTTTTTTTTGCCGCCGGATTCCGGCGTTGACCGGCGGTCAACGCCGGTCTCCGGCGTTGATTTTTTTTTCTTCGGATTTTTTTTCCGGGATTCCGGCGTTTAGCCCGGCGTCAACGCCGGTTTCCGGCGTTGACTTTTTTTTTTTTTTATTTTTCTTTTTTTTTTTTTCTTCCGGCGGATTTGTTCGCCGGTTTCCGGCGGTCTCTTTTTTTAGTGTTTTTTTAAGTTTTTTGTTTTGTTTGGTTTGTTTTGTTTTTCCACGTCCGCCGCTAAACGTTGACCGTAATTGTGCTGTCACTGACAGTAAATTAACGTAATTATACTGTCAATGATAGTTAATTAACGTAATTGTACTACCGTTGACATTACATTTTATGTAATTGTGCTGCCGTTGACAGTAAATTAATGCAATATTATATTTTTTTATTTATTATTATTTTTTTTTATTTTTTTTTGATTTGTTGACAAGTCAACGTAATTATATTACTGTCGTTGACAGTAAAATAACTGTAAACACAATAATATTACTGTCAACAACATCAATATTATTATTTTTTTGTGGTGTTTGTATTAATATTACTGTCTATTATTGTAATATTACTGTAAACACAATAATATTACTGTGGTTGACGGTAATATTACTGTTTGTTATAGTAATATTCCTGCCAACCACATCAATATTATTCTTTTGTTTGGATATTTTGTTTGTTTGAGTTATTCACGGAGTAACGTAATAATATTACTGTCTACTATTGTAATATTACTGTTGCTATAGTAATATTACTGTCACTCACAGTAATATTAATTCTTTTGGTTTTTTTTATTTTCTTTAAATTTGTTGAACGGACAACATAGTAATATTACTTTATTATACAATAATAATGAATTTTGTTGTGTTAATATTAATGTGCTAGAGATTAATATAGCAATATCACTGTGTTAAACTATAGTTTAGTTATTTTTACTGTGTTTAACAGTAATATAGTTAATATTACTGTCATTCAAAGCAATATTGTTGTTTAAACGGAAAAAAAAGTTACAGAAAAAAAAATTAAAAAAAAAAATAAAATAAAAAAAGTAAAAAAAAATCAACGCCGGAGACCGGTGTTTACCGCCGGTCAACGCCGGAATCCGGAAAAAAAATCCGGAAGAAAAAAAAAAATAAAATAAAAAAAAAATTAAAAAAAAAAAATAAATAAAAGTCAACGCCGGAATCCGGAAAAAAAAAATCCGGAAGAAAAAAAAAAAAAAAAAAAAAAAAAAAAAAAAGGTCACCGCCGGAATCCGGCGGAAAAAAAAAGTTTTTGAAAAAAAAATTGTGAAAAAAAAAAAAAGTTTTGGGTCAAAATTGAATAATTTGTGAAATTTGGGGTCAAATTGAAGTTAAATTAAGTTAATGATGAAATTGGAGCATATAAAAGTAAGAGGGGTTATTTTAGTCCTTTACATAAATCTGGACCATGTGTGGACTTATTGGTAAAGGAGAATATTGTCTGGATCTCTTTATGAATAAGTTCCCACTGATGGGCTTATTTGTAATATGCCATTTTTTCTATTTTATTGGGTCAACAAAAAATAGATTTTTATGTTATTACATTTATGTTACCAATAGAAGACAATATATTTTTTTATTTTTCCTATAGATGTTCTTAACAAGATAGTTGAATTATTTGCCAATTATTTTATCTAATAAGAGATTTGTTTTTTTCAAGGATATTATAATTCCAAATATAATTAAATAGTGCTTTAGTGATAAGTGATACAAATAACCCTAAAAAAACACTTGAATTGGGTAAATGTTACATAAATATACTTTAAAAGGGATTAATGTTGCATAATCTATACTCTAAGAGTGCAAAGTGTATTTAACCCTAATTATAACTATTTGTTAACTAATTGCGGAGGATAATAATGAATTGAGCAAAAAAGGCGCCTTTTGTCGAGCAGCAATTTACGCAGGGTACACTCCACAAGCAAACATGGTCAACCTTCACATAATTTCTTGACTTAATTTAATGGCGCCAATTTTGGGTCTGACTTGTACACGTGGTCTGCGTTCATAGGGTAACATCACATGGCCCTATCATAGTCCATGGACTATTCTAACTCCTGATTTCATTTTCTGAAATGATTTGTGCAGGCACATATTAAACAGTCAAGCACATTTTTTACCATTCTTCAAAAAACAAAAAGTGAAAAAACTCAAAAACTCTCTCAACCTTTCGATTTTCTTTCGCAAAGCCCGTGCAAATCGTCAACAGATCGGAGGTAATTTTTACGTTTTTACGATCCTCTTGTTATGTAGATTACGAATCCGAAAAAAAAAACGAAAAAAATCGGACTTTGGCCTGCTCGTGTGAATTTACACGAGCGCATCCACTGCGCTCGTGTAAATCCACACGAGCAGGCTTTGTTAATTTTTTTTTTTTAATATTCTGCTCGTGTGATTTCACACGAGCATACCTTCTCTGTTCGTGTGAAATCACACGAGTGGGTTAAAAAAAAACAAATTTTTTAGAATTTAAAAAAAAAAAATTAAATAGCTCGTGTGATTTTAAACGAGCAGGTGCCACCTGTTCGTGTAAAATCGCACGAGAGAATATTAAAAAAAAAAAAAATTGTTAATGTGCTCGTGTGAATTTACGC